AGAGCACACCTTGACTGTCACCCATCCCTGGGACCTCTGCCGTGTTGCCCCTCTCCCTCCTGCCGCGCAGGAGACAAGGCGATGGCACACGCAGGGCTGAGCCGCAGCGGCTGGGAAAACACCACACACACCCCCTGGATATTAGAGAAGCCTCAAACATGCTGTCGCTGAGCTACGGCAAGTGTGGGACAGCCCTGCAAAGACTACAGGCCTCACCTTGGGGTTCAGGAGACTTGAAACATCCTCTGTTCGACCTCCTCCTCCATCCCACAAGCTTCATGGGACCTCGCAGACTCTCTGCCAAGTATTTAAGATGAGGTCCTGTCCAAAGAGGGACATGGAGGCCCCTCACTGGCTCCTCTCCAAACAGTTCCCCACGCCCCCACCCACCTCTGCAAGCAGAGACTCCTTTCGCTTCCCATGGAGGCCAAGAGAAATATGGCTCTTGGATACGGGGCCACACAGCTGACCGGGCAGCTGGCGCATCCTCGCAGAAGACCTGCCAGAAAAGACCTCATTTATTGTTAGGATCTTGGAAAATAAATCCTCCCTGAGTTTCCAGCTCAGATGTGATACCGTCCACCCATGTTTATGCTGGTTGGGGCTGGAAAGTGAGGGGCCTCCGCATGCCCTGAGCTGGGAGGGGCTTCAGGGGAGCTGGGGTGCAAGGGGTGCCCCAGCAGTCCTCCAACGCCTGCAGGTTGGCAGGTGAGGGAGACACAAACTCCTCAGCGTGAGCTGCTTTTCTTGAGAGATATGGCACAAAGGGCTCTGAAGCAATAACTCGTGCTTGCAGCGGTTACGGGGAGACCTCAGACTTTCCATTTAGCTTGGCGTGAGAGCTCCCTTCAGAGCCAGGCCAAGGCAGGGAAAGGGAAATATTACAAGCTCCCTACAGGATAAAAACCTGAGGTGGCTTGTGGTCTTAATTCCTTTCTTTGCAAAACAAACAGCACATGGTGTGATTAAGTGAGCCTTTTGGGATACACGTATTTGGACTCCTTCTTCCCTCCCTTGCCAAGCCCACGTCAAGCCCCGCAAAGCTCTCTCAAACACACGTGAAAGTGTTTCCAGCTCCTTTTACCTAATTTGCCATTTTATGCTACGCCTTTCAGGTCAACAACTGCAATATCATAACTGGAGCATGGAGGGCTAGGACACCAGCTAGGATTCAGCCTAGCAGCTCAGAAAACAACACAACCACCCACGAACCAGTCTTTACGTCACTGTGGAAGCCAAAACTGAGAAACATGGCATGAATGAAGTTGTTAGAGAAGATTGCTTTTCAAAGAGTCAGATTTTAAGCCAGTACATTCTTGGGCTACCTTGCACACCACCAGATTTTTGTAACAAAACAACTTTGGTTGCATGTCAGCGAGATTCCTTTGCTCCAGCAGTGACTTGGCTGTTGTTTGGTGCTTCTTCAAGCAAGGTCATAGCAGGTCATGACGCCATGCCCTGGCTCACAGGGAGACTGGAGCTTCTCCCCGAGCTCTGAATCATTGGGTGACTTTACATGAAGAAGCCAAACCATTAGCATTCGTCTTGTTTCTATGCTCTGATTTTCTTTCTCATAATTGCTGTAGGAAGGGAAAAGACCTCTAGACAGGCCCCAGGCTTTGGGCTGAGGCTTTCTGTGTCACTCAGGGAAGCCCCAGCAAGTATCTTCTTATAGGTTAACAGCAGCTGCAGATTTAAGTAGGAGGGGGGCGCATGGAGAGCTCTGCCGTCGCCCTGCAGCACTGCGTGACCATGGGCAAGTCACCTCCCTCTGCTTCTCTTCCAAAATTTATCCGTTTTGTTTACCTAGGTTGGGCCCTATTCCTCCCACTGTATCTGTGCTTCACCTGGCACCTAGTCTCAGCAAAACAGGGTATGCTTCACATTAGCATACATTAGTTAGTTGTTTTTAGATACATGGCTCTTGGTCATCAGTTATGGTTGCATCTATTTGGTTATAGCTTTGAAAATCTCAGTAAATTTGCTATTTCTGATGAATATTAAATTCAGTTAAGCTGCCCTCTTGAAATAATCAGTAAAATATAATGACTAGAAGATCCTGCAGATAATCGGGCAGCTGTGCTGTGTGCTATTGCTTGCTAGGTGCCCGTTGCAGAGGAAAGCTACCTTCTGGCAGGGCCGATGGGTGCAGTTTGGCATCTGCACTGAGATGCGGTGGGGCAGATGCTGCTGACCTCCATAACCTCCGCCTGCAGGTCTGGGCAGGAGGAGGAGATGAGTTCACATTTGCAGGGACTGACCTGTCCCAACGGTGATGGTGTCTGAGGAGCAGAGTCCACTGTCCTCCTCCAAAGCCACTGAAATGAGGGAGAACTTCCCTCTGTAACAACTAAACCTCTCCGGAGTCATGAAGGTTGCATGGATGTGGGGTGAAGGGCAGTACGCAGAAAGGAGAGGCCTTGCTCACATGAATGGATAGAGGCAAGAGAGAAACACACCCCAACTGCAGCGTTTTCATGCACACGCTGTCCTAGACCTGGCAGCCATGTAGGCTCCTGAATGGATGTGGGGCCACGAGACCTTGTGAACGAGCAGAGAAAGAAGGGATGGGAGTGTTTATCTGAAAAAGTGGTGGGATATAATGAACAAGCCATGGGTGGGAATGTGCAGGTGGGGCTAGAAATTTCTTAAGCTGATTTAGCTGGAAAAAGCCAATATACTACGAAACCGCATTCACAAATGCTAAAATACGGCAATTTGGAGGTTAAAACGTGAGTTTCTTAACAGCTCATCAAGCAGCCGTGTAGGACAAGACATGAAGAATAGCTTGTCCTTGTAGTCCCTGATTTCCTAGAAGAAGCTGTGGTAACATTTAAGTCCCACACATCCCAGTTGCAAACGGAAGCAAAACCAGTTACAGTCATGTCCACCCCCACCGAGGAGATGCAAGACTGGTGAGATGCGATGTAAACCTTCCCACCCCTGTACAGCGGCAATGGGGAGACGGTAACTTGCCAGTCCCTAAGCAGGTCACTATGGCACGATGCTCATGTCACCCTGCCATGCTGCGTTTTTTCCAAAAGCTGTGCCAGCTTTGCGAATCGAATGTGCACAGACTGAACACAGCTAACGCTACGTCTGCCACGTGCCCCGCGCTCCTAACCCCACCATCACCTAAAACGTGACAACTGCTTTCTGTGGAGACTGCACCATGGCATCGGGGGCAAGAACAGTGCAACCATGGGATTTAACCTGCTGTCATGCCAAGACACAGCCACGGGGTCCACTAACACCCTGAGGGTTCAAGTGCAGTCTTTGATCTTCCTTTGGGCACGTTCATCACCTAAACTTGTCCTTGGTTGGTTCCTGACCTATTTAACACTGCTGTGACTCATGTGTTATGAAGGTGAATTGTTATTTGCAGTGAAGTTGTATTTGTATTGAGATCATCATCATGAAGGCCAGGAGATTTGCAAGAAGAGTTGAGTTTGGTATCACAGATTATCTCATTGCTTCAAGCTGGGGTGTAGAAACTCTGGTACCCTAAAAATGTGAAAAGTCTAGTAGTGGTGTTTCATCATATAAAACAAAACTCCTCCTTTGCGAGTACAAAATAGGATGTTTTCAAAACTCCTCGAAAGGCTGATTATAGACTTCACTCTACGCATACGCATTTAATAGGAGCGATGATTAAATGTGGTAAGGAGAGAAAGCAGTTGCTTTCCCTGTTCTCTTTAACAACTTCATCTGAAGGCTTTTTACACATGAAGCGTTAAGCCGGTTTGCCTACGTACACCTAAAGAACAAGGTCCACAGTGGAGTGACACCTCTATTTTCAGTCGTGACATTTGCTCTGCATTCATGCATTTGCACCAAGTCATGAAAAAAAACTGTGACGGTTTTGTACTCTTCTGTTCAGAGACGAGCAAGAGAAAGGCGTTCCTCTCCCAAGAGAGCGAGGAAGGGGTTAAGCGGTTTCAAAACAAGCTGGGCACAACTGATGTCAGATTTTTGTCTTACAATGGCATCTGTTCGCTTTCCCAGCAAGCAGTATGTGGACCGCTGGGCATTGTATTGTTCCGAGGACAGCAGAAGATACCACATATCTTTGGAGAGGACAAGATTTTCTCACTCCTCGTTAGCTGTAAGATCTTGTTTGTTAAGTAACTCTGGAGAAAGATGCAATCAGAAACTCCAGAAAAACTTTTCTGGTTTTTTGGGTTTTTTTTACTTAAATGTTGTTTCCAGGGTGTCTTTTTCTGATGTGAAGGGCTCAGCTGTACTCTGTGCACCTTTCTAGTGTCACTGTAATCATGTGTCACTCTGCTTAGATTAAAAGGAAATTAGCATCATGAAAATTATGACTATCCTCCCAATTTTCTGAAAGCCTCTCCTGGGCAGTCGGAAAAAGGGAAAGTGTAGGGGAGCAAAAGCGAAAATCCTTAATGTCTTTCTATTTGGCTATTCTAGATTATCTTACAGATACAAAGACTTAGGGCAATGTTAAGACAGGGATCTGTGAAAGCAGAAAGTCTGTTAAGTTTAAAAAGAAATTTAACACTGAAGTTGCCAAAACAGACCTGCTGACTGAAAATAAGTTCTTCTCTTAGCCACCCTCAGTTCACATGCCTTTTTATTAACTGGCAAGTCTGTGAGCAGGCTCCGTATTCGTTCTCCGTGCATTCCCCCCTCGTTTTTATGTTTCTATATGCAGCAGCCCCCATCAGTGCTCCCACCCGGGAGCCCTGGGCAGCTGTGCTGCAGCGGTGGCAGCAGACAGGGACACAGCAGCACCACAGGAGAGCAAAGGGGAACTTCAAAAATCAGCTCCAAGTGGCGTTTCCAAGTTCAGAGCAGGTTTCAGACAAGCAATACTGGGCTGTAATGCCTCAGCGCTTTTAAACTCCCAGCTGAAAGCACGACTTGTGCTATTTTTGCATCATCTTTGAAGGAAAAAGTCATGAGGAGCTGCCCTCCACTCCGGCACGGGGAGCTGGCAGCTCCAAGGAGCATCGCAGCACAGAAACGCAAGTACTCACCCGTCATCAGCGTGTAGTAATTTGGGTAGGAGAGGCTGGGGAAGTCTGGAGTGATGTAATCCACCTTCACCCCCATGTTCACAATCTCCCGAAAGCCCGGCAGACCCTCCAGCTCGCTGTCGTCGATGTAGTCGAAGCGAAAGCCATC